GGCTAGTTTTAGGTCATGTTTCAATTAGCATCCTTATGCTCGCATGTTTGCATACATTCATTCGTATTGCATGCACCAGGCTCGACACATCATACTAACAGCATTGTATTTCAATTCTAAGTTGAATACATGTATCAAATTGTCGCATCTCGCATGCCATTTTAGACTAGCCGAGCCTATTCTAGTTGCATTTTGTATGTGATGCATTAGCCATCTTAACATGGACTTGGATCATACATTGATTACCAACATGTTCTTCGTTTTGGCTCAGAGTACACTGTGAGTGTTTATGCTTTAGCATCTCGTATGTATGTGAGTATCAACATGATAGCATGCTTTCCGTGACGCTAATTTCTTATGTGATATAACTGCCTGAATGCCTGTGGGTGAAGGTTGGATTGCTTGAATTGGGACAATTCATTGAAATCTGGTGTTTTAGCCTACATGCGAGTAGTCCTCTTTACTAGCTTACATTGCATGCTATTTTGGCCTTTGATCCTAGCACTTTTTGGCCATGCTTTAAACTGATTTTGTGCATATTTTGGACTGCCTTAGCTCTGTTTTTATGCCTCATGATCGAATGATTCTTGCTATGCATGGTTGTAGTTCAATACCCTTGCCTAGCTTTGAGTTTTGGAGCCTATTGCATGCTTATGTTGAGGTGTTTCCATGCTTCGAGGCCATTGTGCATCATATTTCAGAGCTTACATGTATGCCATATTCCCATGTTTTCCACTCTTTAAATGCGTTTGAGAGTAGTGCTTGTATGCCTCGTTTATGGACCATTGCATGAGCTTAATTTCCATGCATTTTGAACCATCATTTTAGGTAATTTTCCCACTGTAGCCTTGCCATTATTCTATTCTCTAGCCATTTTGCCTTCTTCTTCACCCAATCTCTTATCTCCATCATCTCTTTGCTCTTGGGTTCTTAGTTGAGACTATTGAAAAATCTAAACCTCTCATCATTTTCTAGAGAATTCAAATTTTTCTTCAAGAATCTTCGAAGATCTTCGAATTTTTCAACGACGTTCTTGAACCCTCTCATACATTTGGCGACTCTACTGGGGAGACGGATTGGTTAATGGTCTGAACGAGATCTGGAACCCACACAACTCCAGTAAGGATGGTGGGAGAAGATGAAGTTCACCAACAAGGATCCTCTAATGGTGGTGATGACAGGACCATGGCTCCAGATCAACCACTTTTGCTTGAAGCCATTCAAGGACTTCAAAATACTCAGCAGGAGATTCTTACCACTCTTCAAAATCTCACTCACACCATATTGGTGATGAGTTCTAATTTTGCACCGGCGCCAAACGGAAATCAAACTGGTAGTGGAGTTATCCCCGCCGGAGTGTAAAATCAAATCCAAGGAAAAGTAGGCCCCGGTCAGCTTGTGGCTCATGGCAACACAACCACAGTAACACATGCTCAGACCATAGTAGGCGGCAACAGTTTGCCCATGCCCGGGCTCCATGGCGTGCCAAGCCAAGATCCAATGGTGACTAGGGGAGGTTCTTGCCACGACCCAAACCCGCCCCTATGGGTTTAGCACCGTAACCGGCTAGTAATCCGTGGTTACCGAAGGCCTGCTTAACAATAATAACAGTAATACAGAGTACAGGGGCTGACGGAAGCCAAAACAGTAATAAAAGATGTCCAATGAGCTGTGACAATCTGTATGCAAAAAGACTTTTTATAACACATTCACATTCAGTACAAAAGCAGTATGTACATACATCATATACAGGCATTCAGGTTAGGGACCAAATCCCTACCATAATAGTACAGTACAAGTCTATATAGTCTATACAAAACAGAGACAGGAAGGGGAAATCTAAAACACCCCGAAGCAGCCTTGGCTTGAAGGACTTGGAACCTCTCAGTGAGGCACAGTGGTTGGCTTGACAAAAAGGGAGTTTAACCTAACGCTCTTAGCTCCGATCCGGTGCCTGAACACCTACATATATATATAAACGGTGAGCTAAAGCCCAGTGAATAACATATGCGTAAAGAGGTTAAGAATGAATGTCATTTCAATCATTAAACAGCCATATCAGTCATTTAGAAACCATAGCAGTTATAAGTGGTATATCCAATAGCAAAACAGTACAGTAGGTCTTAACAGACCGAACAGTTAGTTGATGGCTATCATAACAGTAAACAGTAGTGGTTCTAACATAGGAACCGACAGAGACCTCTGTGACAGTAGCAGTACAGTAACGGTAAGTTGCTATGGATACCACGAGTACGATTCATCAATAGGACATCATTTATTCAGTAAGAAATATCATTTCAGAAAGCAGTACAGTAGATCATTCAGAAAATATTCATGATTGAACATATCTTTACAACATTGTTACTCACAGAGTTCTGGACTACAGATAGGCTAGTGAACGTCCTCGGATACCAACCCTACACAGTTACAGAATGAACACACTAAGTTACACACTTGGGAATCAATGGCTTAGTCCCAATCTTGACTCGGTGTGGTTCTACATCAATAACCTCATTAAGATGCCTTAAACTAGGCCTAGGAATGCCTAGGATGAAATGAGGATGCAAAGATGTACTTTAAAACACTTTTCAGAATTTTCAGAAAACAGGGGTCTCGCTCAAGCGTGGCTTTCTACGCTCGAGCGGACATGCAGACAAAGGAGCTCCGCTCGAGCGTGACTTCCCTCGGTCGAGCGGACTGCAAAAGTACTAGATGCATGAAATTCACGCTCGACGGGCCCTCGACCCTCGTTCGAGCGTGAGACACAAGTCCTCGCTCGAGCGTGCATTCCCTCGCTCGAGCGGACTGTAAACACATGCAAAGTACTGGATTCACGCATTTCAAGCTTGAGCGTTACTTTTCCCGCTCGAGCGGACTGCATGAACTCAGAGTGTACGCTCGAGCGTGAAGTTCCTCGCTCGAGTGTGGATCCAAAATCTGGAATTTCCAAATTTGTCTCAAAGCATGAAACTCAACATTTAAAGCATCATATTCGATCCTTTTGGGCTAATTTTCTGGAAAACACTTTAAAACTCATATTATGACATGTTTCAAAGATCAATTTGCAAAATCAAAGCCCAAAAGTTGTTCAATTGAACCTATTTCCAAACAAAACTTCAAGAACATGATGTACATGCAACATGCATGAATTTAATCAACTTCAAAGCTTCTAATACAAGAACAAATGAGTCAATCCTTCTAAAAACATGCTGAATTCATGGACCAAAGCTCGAATATGGACATGCATGTGAGGATTCTATGAAAACAACCTCAAAACTCAACAATGTATAATGCATGCATGATTTAAGCTTCAATTCAACATTTTGAACCAATTCTAGACTCTAATCACCAAACTTCCATGAAACATGCAAGATACGACTTAAATACAAGTTCAAGAAGATGATTCTCCTACCTTAGGTCTTCAATTTCAAGTCTAGAAGCTCAATTATGCAATCTACCCTTCAATTCTTCTAATTTTCCAAGCAAATCTTGTTAAAACCAAAGCTCTCCTAACTCTCTCTCTCTAGTCGGTTTGGTCTTTCAGAGATGAACAAAAGTGATGCCAACACATGTAAATCAAGACTAAACATTTGGTCTAGCAAAGTCCACTTAATGACATTTTAGTAAATAAGCCAACTAATGTAATTTAACATTATTTAATCCAATTTAATCATACCAAATCAAATTTCAATTAAACATACCATAAAATCACATAAATTCTAATAATCATAAAACACTAATCAGTTTCGGATTCGGCCGCTGATAAGGCCTTCAATTTGCAATTTAAAACATAAAACATGAACAGATCAGTTAACAGTCAAACAGATAGAAATGCATTTAACATAACACATTCATGCAATCAGTTTAGGATTTCATCCTAATCAGTTACGTATCATGCTCAGTCACAGTTTAGCAGTAATTAGTGGTGAGGGTTGTCACAGTTTTGGTGTAATGAATGGCGCTTCGACGACTATTGGTGTCCAAGTAAATATAAGGGACATGATGGTGCAAAAAGGAGCTCTGTCCGTACCTAATCTTGTTACACCACCAGTAAATGTTACTCAAGTACCAAGCGGGCATCCTTTGGTGCCGACAGCAAATTTGCAAGCCTAACCCGGTATAGCTGCGCCGTACGGTGGACTTTACGGGCCTCAATTCAATGTCCCATCATCGACTAGCTTGTCCATAGGCGCTGATGGCCAGTATCATCAAGTAGTTTCGCCAATGATGAATTCTTAACACTAAAATGGCCAAGTCACTCCTAACTCAGTCTTCGGGTCCATAAGCCAAGTTCCTGGAATGCCACCATCAAACTCTCTCCCTCAACAGTTTCTCACTCTCGCCGATGTGCAAGCCATGTTCGATCTCGAACGAGGCAAAAGGACTTTACCCTCTTTGCCTGATCTGGATGTCAAGTCACCTTACCCTATTGAGATGCTGAGCTATCCATACCTTGAGGGGTATATAGTGCCGAAGTTCATCAAATTTGATGGCAAACAAGGAAATGCTCAAGAACATGTTGCGCGGTTCATCGAGACCCTGGGTATTTATGGTTCAAACCACGTCCTCCGGCTGAGAGAATTCTCTAAGTCCCTCACTGACCGAGCATATAGTTGGTATGTTAATTTGGCTCCAAACTCTATCTGAAGTTAGAAGGAAATGGTTAACATATTCCACTCCAAGTTCTTCCAAGTGGCGGAGAAGGGTGACCACACTTACATTGTGTAAGGAAAAGTAACGAGAAAGTGAGGACATCCTTGACTACGTCAAAAGGTTTCAGGATAAGGCTGTGGATTGCCATGAAGCTGTGGAGGAGAGTTATCTGGTTCAAATCTGTCTAGAGGGGGCATTGAACAGGTACAAACTGTTTCTAGTTAATCACAAGCTACCCACCTTCTCGGCACTAATAGAAGCAGCTCAGAACATTAGCACTCCTCAGACTTAGGAGTATGGATTTAAGGCCAGTTATAAGACTAGCTTTAAATCATCTCGTGGACCTATTGTTATTGTTGCAGCTGCCTCTGTCCCAGATATCTGAAAGTCACAAGGAGGGGGTCATAGAGGCCAGAAGAGGAAACAATATAGTGGTAAAAAGGGCAATGTTTCTTATCCATGTGGAATCGAGGAGGTAAAATCTCTAGTTAAGGAATGGGTGGCCGACGGAGAGCTAAAATTGCCTTATGTTGAAGGAATTCCATCAAAGAAGGCCCCGAGTTTTGCATCTATCATCACACATTGAAACATCTGATAGAGAAGTGTTGGACTCCGAAAAATCTTCAAAGATAAAGTCGAGGCAGACGAATTGAGGTTCAAAAAGCAAGGGACTCAAGATATCCGGGAACAACCATATCTTCAGCACTGAGACAATGGCAAGAATGTTGCTATGATAGCTTATGAAGGCCTGATGATTGAGGCTCTCGCTAATCTTGATGACGATGATTGTTATTTGGACAACATCTTCGAGCCCAAGGATGAGCAAGTTTACTATGGAAGTTCTCTCGAGCTAGAGGACAGAGCCTTTATGACTCATGTCAAAGGTCCCTTCAATCTAGAAGGAGCAGAATAGTACTACGGAAGAGGAGGACACCATGTTTATGTGGCATATTATTTTGAAGAGACCGAAGAGATGGTTAACTACGAGCCTTCAAGAGTGGAGAAAGATCTGGATCACTATGCCAAAACCCTGCAAGACTGTGTAAAGTTCAAACAATTTTTTGACCAGCTTGGACTTTCTAGGGAGGCAAGAACAAAAATCACCAAGTCTATCATTAATATAGTCGAGGCACACCATGAGGAATGCATGTCGACTGAGGGATCTATCCCAATGAATGGAAAAGAGTAATCTAGTGCCATTACTTTCTCCGAGACTGATCGAAAATATCCATTTTCTCACAACCGCCCGCTTTATGTGACTGCTTTTATTAACGGGGTATAGTGGAGCCTCTATCAACATTATGACCCGTGCTACTCTAGAGAAGGTCGGAATCTTTGAAGAGCGCATTGTGAAGTAGCCGATAGTCATCACTGGCTTCAGTGGAGAAATGAGAGTTGCTAGAGGATGCGTAACAGTTGATTTAGTCGTCAGAGAGATTCACTCGGCCACCAAGTTCTATATTATCGATTCCGAGGCAAATTATCACATCATTCTAGGGAGGACCTGGATGCATAGATATGGGGTTGTATCGCCAAGTTATCATCAGTATGTTAAGGCTAAATGGGGAAAGAAGATGGTGACAATTCAGGCTACAGA